CCTATTATGTGCAATGAAGAATTTCCTTACTGTTTGTGCCAGTTAGAGTTTGGTTTTTTATTCCTTAGTGTTTAAAGGTTCTTGATTATGACAATAAAAATAATAGCAGCTAACATTTCTTGAGAATGACCTTGTGCCAGGCACATTCTTTGTATTTGTAATTTTGTTTAATGTTCTTGATAATCTTATAAGGCAAATACACTATTGTCCTTATTTGTAAAATGTAAGTGATTTTTCTCAAGCTCATGTGTGTAGTAAGTGGCAGAACCAAATGTTTTTCTTTGTTTGTTTGAGACAAAGTCTCCCTCTGTTGCCCAGGCTAGAATGCAGTGGCATCATCACAGCTCATTGCATCCTCCAACTCCTGGGCTCGAGTGATTCTCCTGCCTCAGCCTCCTGAGTAGCTGGGACTACAGGTGTGCACCACCATGCCCAGCTAAGTTTTCTATTTTTGTAGAGATGGGGTCTCACCATGTTGTTCAGGCTGCTCTTAAACTCCTGGGCTCAAGTGATTCTCCCATATTAGCCTCCCGAGTCACTGGGATTATAGGCATTAGGCACCCTGTCTAGCTGAAACAAAATCTTTCAGAGCTCAGAGCCTGTGCTCTTCACCACTATGATGGTTCCACTGCTAGATGAGGCAGAGGAAAATAAAGAGGAAGGATCTTGTGAAGAGGCTACAGGAAGAACAGAAGATGGTGATATTATTAATTTTATAATTATTAATATATAATCTGTTCTCTCCACCTGGAATACATCATCCCTGGGACACCTTTTCCCCATGCCCACTTCTCTGCCTAGAAACTTCTATTATTCTTTAAGAACCCAACTCAGATGTCACCTCCTCTGAGGAGCCTTCCTTCATGTCATCTCCCCAAACCTCCAACCCTCTGGAATCCCACAAAAATTTGCTCAGATTTCTATTGTAGCCCAAGTTGTGTTATAAAGTGTTCATTTTCATACCTCCTCCTTGTACTAAATTCAGAACTCCTCGATAATAAGGACTATGCCTAATTATTCCTTGTGGTTCCAGCGCTTAGCTCAGCTCATTGTAGGTGCCCAGGGAAAGTGAGATTGAATGAATCAATCATCACACCTCGAGCACCCTCCATCTTACCAGGTACCATTCTAAGAGATATAAAGTCAAAAAGATCAGACCTTTGGCCCCTTGAAGTTCATAAACAAATTGAGGATATGTTACTATCTTTCTATTCTACATTATAGAAACCCAACACAAACTAGCTTAAAAGGAAAAAAAGAATGTGGGCAGGGGACAGAATTTGTCCTAGGCAGGTTACTTCTATTAACAGTTTCAGGAATAGATGAATCTAAGATCCAAGGGTTTCCAACAATGTTATCCTCTAGATTAGGTCTCTTTCTATAACCTGCTCTTGGGTGGCTTCGTTCTCAGGAATTTTTTTTCTATGTGAAAGCCCCTCACCACTCCATGTTTACATCCAATGGTAGCAAAAATAGAGGTTTTTATGCCAATGGTCCTAGCAAAAGTCCTAGAAGTAATTCTCAATGCTTTTAATTGAGTCACCTGCCCTTCACTGAACCCATTAAAGTAACTCTGAATAGGCCTATGTCACATGCCTACCTCTGGATTTGGAAGTAGGGTTGACCCCATCCATATTATATGGATTAAAAGTTAGGGAAGGTTGTTCACTTTCCCAGAGGAAAATCAAGTTGCTATTACTAAAAGGGGGAGAAGATATTAGGCAAGCAAAAACCAACACATGTCCTCCATCAAAGAGATGCCCTACACATCAATAATTATATGGTAAGGCTAGGAGTGATGCCTGTCTTAAAGATTAGGTAGAACAAATGGATCATTTCAAGAGCAGCTGTCCACAAACACTTGTAGGAGGAAACCTATAAAGTAGGCCCTTTTGATAGGATTATGGTAAATGATGATGAGGAGGCCTTTCAGATACGTGGAAAGGCATGAAGAAAGGCAAGGAGGTAAGGATCCTTTTGAGGTTTTCCAAGTTTGCTGGGAACTTTTGGGAATTAAATCTAGAACTTTGGTTGGGGGCTAGATCTATTATACATAGTCTAATAAGTGCTAATCCTTTATGCAGATTTCTTCCATATATGATCTCAAAGAAAAAAGTAGTTTTGGCAGGCACCAGGAGTAGGATTATTCTTCCCATGTTACCGGTGGGGCAAGTGAGGCCTAGTGCAAGAGATGCCCACTGAGAGTTCACCCTCTTGTGTCCAGAGACGGAACAGCACAAGAAGCCCAATTTCTGCCCTTCAGCCCAGGACTGTGCCCCTCCACCATCCACAGTAAAAATAAAATCTGGAGTTGGAAATCACCAGGACAGCAGCTGTGGCTCAGGCCCAGGGCCAGCCTGAGGACCTTTGGAGGAAGCCGTGGGAACAACCATATAGGCAGAAAGAAGATACCTGACTCACATAATGGCTAAGAGCAGAGACTCTGGAGTCAGGCCTGGTTTTTATTCTTGGTTTCATGGGTTACCTTGGGCAGATTATATAACTTCCCTAAACCTTAGCTTCCTCATCTGTAAACAAGGTAAAGAACAATACCTATCTTATAGGATGGTTCATGAGGTCTGAATGAGGTATTGCATAAGAATTGAGCACACTCTTCCTCATCTGGTCGCATCTCCTTGTCCTCATTCGGTCTGGTCTCCTCTTCTGATCTAGTCTCCTCTTCCTCTTCCGGTCTTGTCTCCTCTTCTGGTTTTGTTTCTTCTTCCTTTCTCATCTATTCTTCCTCATCCAGTCTCTTCTCCTCTTCCAGTCTGGTCTCCTCTTCCTCATTTGGTCTCAACTTTCTCTTTTTAAAGACAGCCTAAAATTCCATGGTATAGATGCAATGTAATTCACTTAACCAGTTCCTTAATGAAGGACATAGGTTTCCCTCCAATGTTTTGCTATTACGAACAATATTGTAATATACATATCCCTGTAAGTATATCATATCCATGTGTGAATATACCTGTAGAATAAACTCCTAGGAGAAGAACTGCCAGGTTAAAAAATATGCACTTGTATAATATTGAAAGATATTACCCAATCGCCCTCATGGAGGTTGTGCCAGTTCACTCTCCTACCAGCAATACGAGTGGCTTCTTTCCCTGGTCTTTGCCAAACCAACAGTGACAATGATATCTTATTCTTGTCTTCATTTGCATTTCTCTTATTATAAGTGGGCAGAGCACAGTTAGAAATGTTTAAATTCCTTTTATTTACACTGTCTTTGTCTCTTGATTTGCTGGATCTTTTCCCCCCTTATTGATTCATATTCACCCTTAGTACATAAAGAAAAATTGACTGTGCGGTGCAGTATAAATTTTATCCTAATTTCTTGGTTGACTTTTGACTTTGTGGCATTTTCTTCCATGAATATTAAGGATTTTTTTTTTTTTTGCATAGCTTAACTTATCAAGATTTTATTTCATGGTTTTGAAGGGGTAGAAGTGCAGGGGGAGGGGCAATCAACATTTAACAAACCAAAGTCAGAAATGACCAAAAGCCAAACTCCTCACAATGATCAACAAGATTGTATTTTCCTTGGTTCCCTTTCAAGCCTCATCTCCATAAATCCTCTCTAAACAAATTGAGTTCCAGTCATATAAACTATTTGCATTTCCCAGAACAAATTATGGTATCTGTTTGTTTTATCCATATAGATTATGGCATAGACTAGTCTTTCTACTTGGAATGCCTTTCTCAATCTTGTACTCTAAATGTATCTGTTGGGAAAAGTCCTGTTCATACAAAGCAATTTAAATATTTCCTTTGTGAAGACTTCCCTGCCTATTTCATCTTACCTGTCCTTAATGAGTTAGGTAGCATTTTCTAAGAGCCCACAGATACTGATCACATGATTCAGTTCATACCCTAGAAGCCAGCAGGATGGGCTCTGAAGCTAGGTTGTCTGGGTTCAAATCCTACCTCTGCTACTTATTTGCTCTGTGACTAATCATGAGCAAATGACTTCTCTGTGCTTCAAAGTCCTCATCTATAAAATGGTGAGGATAGTAAAGCCTCATAGAAATGCTTTGAGAATTAAATGGATTAATATTTTCCAGTGTTAAACAGCACCTGTGTTGTGAATAGCGTCTGACACACAGAAAACACTTACTAAATAAATGAAAACATGTTGAGCCCAGTGCCAGGCTAAGCAAGAGAGAGTAAACTTCCAGGAGCAGTTGTGCTTTCCTTCTTATCTTCTTTCCTAGACTGCGAATGTCTTGAAAGGAAGGGCCAAATACCATGCTTTACTCAACATTGTATCCCAAGCACCCAACATATGGGGAGGTTTGCTGAATGAAAAAATGAATGAACAAACACTTTCGCAGCCAAGGCTCCCACTTTAATAGAAATATAACATAAATACATAATGTAGATTTTTTTTTTTGAGAGTATTCAGAAACAGGACATAATGTAGATTTAAGATCTCAGAATAAAATTATAGGATTGTTGTCAGAAACACAAGCAAATACAGTCTTTCCAAGTTTGGTTGCTAAAGAAACAGTCAAGGAGCCCAGTGGCTTAGAACAAAGAAAAGTTCTTGAGGGAGTTTTCTTTAACTTTGTGTGTGTGTGTGTGTGCGTGTGTGTGTGTGTTAAACGGCACTTATAGTAGTGTACAGGCTGTTCCCTGTTCCCGTCTATGGCCGCTCACTGAGACTGACATCGCACTTCCTGTGCACGCTGAGTGAGGCTGGTCAGCGATGACCACGAGCAGGTGCCGGAGCTTTCAAAGCTTTACTTCTTTTATCTGCGCTCTTGATTTTATAAACCATGAAGCTTATCAAGCCCATTCCGATCCAGATATCCTGGTAAACTTGGGCATAGTAGGGTCTCATGGGGACCCACACATTTCTAATACCGCTTTGAAGCATCTCGGAGCCAGAACAGCAGCTGGGCCAAAGGTCACGGCGTGCGCAGGCGCCGCGCGGAGGCTGCTGGGAAGGCGGAAGGAACAGCTCTTTAACGGTTTAAAGCAGGGAAGAATGTGGGTTGTGGAGAAAATTAAAGAGAATATTTCAGGGAGGGGAAATGACCCCTACGTGGAACAATTTGGGGATTCCCTAAATCCTAGGCAGCTCCACCCATATTTTTCTATCAGACATAGCCAATGTACTCACATCCAACATAATTTGGGGTAAAAAAATTGTTTAAAGGTATTTTCTAATTTGGCTTTTGAAAATACTTTTGTATTAGTAACTCCTTTGATTCACAATTGGCTATGATTTTTCAGCAACTATTGGGTACCCATGAGAAATTTTAAGTGAGGAAATCCAATCCACAAATTGTTTTTAACTGTAATGAGATGTTTAAGAAATATTGAGTGTTGGCCGGGTGGGTGGCTCACGCCCGTAATCCTAGCAGTCTGGGAGGCTGAGGCCGGCTGATTGCTCAAGCTCAGGAGTTTGAAACCAGCCTGAGCAAGAGCGAGATCCGTCTCTACTAAAAACAGAAAGAGATGAATTGGCCAACTAAAAATATATAGAAAAAATTAGCTGGGCATGTGGCGTGTGCCTGTAGTCCCAGCTACTTGAGAGGCTGGGGCGGATGGATTGCTTGAGCCCAGGAATTTGAGGTTGCTGTGAGCTAGACTGATGCCATGGCACTCTAGCCCGTGCAACAGAGTGAGACTCTTGTCTCAAAAAAAGAAATATTGAGGCTGGGTGCGGTGGCTCAAGCCTGTAATCCTAGCACTCTGGGAGGTTGAGGTGGGTGGATTGTTTGAGCTCAGGAGTTTGAGACCAGCCTGAGCCAAGAGTGAGATCCTGTCTCTACTAAAAATAGAAAGAAATTAATTGGACAACTAAAAATATATAGAAAAAATTAGCCGGGCATGGTGGCCAATGCCTATAGTCCCAGCTACTTGGGAGGCTGAGGCAGGAGGATCGCTTGACCCCAGGACTTTGGGGTTGCTGTGAGCTAGGCTGACACCATGGCACTCTAGCTGGGCCAACAAGAGTGAGACTCTGTCTCTAAGAAAAAAAAAAAGAAATATTGAGTGAAATAATTGATGAAGTTGACATATGTTATAATTTACGGCTATGTCATGACACATTTAAAAATTTTGATATTGCAATGTTCAATGGAACAAAAACATTTCTTTCTTTTTTCTCCCCAGGCTTCAGGTATTTTAATTGGCTCTTGAAATGTTCTTGGGCTCTAGCCTAGGCACCATGCCTGTAGTCCCAATGGGTAAAACAACTGTGCTTGTTTAAAGGCAGAGAGGCAAGTGCAATCAAGTTTAATGCTGAATATGGCAAACTTATTTTCTCTTTTGAAGCCAAGTATCTGTGTGGAGGATTAGTTGGATGCATACTTCTTCAGAGAACCAGCTGTTTTTGTAAGTAAAGTCCTGTTGCAAGAAGAACAAACCTATTTATGTTGGGGAGTAGGGAAACCAATTGTCTTTTCTTATCACCTACCACGAACACCATGCTTTCATTTCATCTCAACACAAGACACAAGATCTGGGATCTAGAATTTTATTTTCCATCACAAAGCCAATTCTCACACCATTTTCAGACCAAATGTTTTTGCCTCTTTAGAGCAGCTTAGAAACTTTCTTTCACTCCCTAATTTCTGTTGTGAGAGATGTTGTATATAGTAACCCTTGGTACCAGATGAAAGGTCCCAATGTGAATGAAGAATGGGAAAAATTATAAACAGAGTGAGGCTAAAAAGATCACTTAACCTGAACCAAATGGGGGGAAAACAGTGCTAGAATGGAATATCCAACTAGACATGGACATGGTTTTTGGCAGGCAGTTATATGAATGGCCCCATTATAGAGGAATCAGGGTCAGTGTTTGCCTCCAACTGTAGGAGGCAACTTTCAATTGTATTCTATGGTCATAGTGCTCCCTGGAGATCTGCAAACTTGTGAGCCTGAAGGCAATGGTTACATGCCTCTCACTTCCAGGGAAATGAAGAACAAAATGGCCCAGGAGAAGAGAAAGCACATGCTACCAAGCTGCATGCAAGCTACGAACAGTCCAAAATTGCGGTTGATTTCATGCCCAACTCTTGCTACACCTAAGATTTGCATAATCCAGTGCTGGGGAGCTTTGGGGGGAAAACCAGAATTCCACCCCTGAAGCCAAGCCAAACCTTCGGTGACTGAAGACTGGGAAAGCTGCCTTTTTCAAATTCGATCTAGTTGCTCTTTCCCAATAGCATTTAAAGGACAAACGTGTTCTGTTCTGCAGCCCTGGAACTCTCTATTCATGGTTAAGTCATTACCTAGGAGGACTTTATAAGGGTTATTGGGAGTTTAGCTTTACAGTAAATGTAGTATAATTTACACAATAAAAATGCAGTCCCTTGCTTAATTACTTTCTTCACCTGTTGGGAGTTTTTCTCATCTATGAGGTCAAAGTTTTTACTCCCAGCCATAACTATGCGGTTGACATGGGGATGAAACACTTTTGAACCCCTCAGAATGAAGACTTCTGGACTACACCTAAAGAGCAACTCGCCAAAAACAATGAATGGTGTTTCACAACCTGAGTGGGTGTACTTCATCTAACTAATATGTAAATAAAGGAGTGGTGAGTTAACAGCTCAATAGTGAAGGGGCCTCTCCAGAAAACTCAGCTACCAGAAATGAAGGGCAACTTCACTCAAATCCTGTGACACTTTGGAATTTAGGTACAGCAAGGTGCTTGGGCCTGGACCGAGGGAAGGACAAAAGGCTCTTTTCTTTCTCTGGAGCTCACCCATGTCCAGAGAGAGGGAACACCAGGAAGTGGCACTTCAGAGCTATTCTGAATCTTCCCATGTAGTTGTTATTCCAGCCTTTTTTTTTCTATTTTCTGTTTAAAGCCACCAGAGAATTACAGATAGTCCCAAAGAAGGAAGGATCAGTGCTGCACTTTGGTCTTGCCTTCTGGCTCACACATGGGGAGAAGCCTAGGAGGCCAGCGTGGCCTGAGGGAGGAGACCCACCCAGATCCAACCAGATGAAAGAAAACAGAGACCTTGAAAGAGGAAAAATAATATTTGTAGGTACTAATGGAGTTGCTATAACAATAATAAATATAATGCCTACTACTTGCCCACACTTACTTAAACATGGGAACTCAGACCCTGGTAAATTCTGCCCACTTTGCAAGGCTTTCTGGGAGACCCAGGTGGTGTTTTATAGGCATTTGCACACAGCCCCATTACTTTCTACTCCAGCCCCCATGTGGATGTCTGATGCCTGAGATTCCCTCTGTGTCCTTCAGGATAGTTCTGGTGTCTGGACCAGCACTGTGTCTCTTGGTGCTGCCAGAGCTGCTGACCTGAAAAGAGCCTAATGGCTATTGTCTTCCTACCTGGGCATCAAAGCATCCCAGGTCTCCTGCAGCTTCTTTGCCTCTGCTGTATCTTTTTCATTCTGGGAGGGTTTGGACATGAGTCCCAGAGAGCCAGACTGGTCCATTTGGGAATTGACAGCTGAGACCAATACGATTCTTTTTTCTGCACCTCCTCCCTTTCCCTACCCCTTACTCTCCCTCAACCCTCTCTCTGTCCATCTACTCTGTTTCAATGTATCAGTAAACCCCAACAATCTACACTTTAATGAGCCACCAGGGGGGCCAGATACCACCTTCTGAGAAGCAACAAGATATTCATTAAAAGGCCATACAGCCACGTAGCTGAAGCTGGAAGTCAGACCTGGATCTGAATTCAGGTGCTGCTGCTTCTAACTATGTCCTTGAACAAATGACTTAACCTCTTGTGGCCTGGTCTCCTCAATTACCAAATGAGGATAATAATAGGACTCATTCATCAATGTCTTCCATGTATAAATACTTCATTGAGGACCTGTAATGTTCCAAGCACTGTTCTAGATATTAGGGTATGGCATGAATAAAACATATGAAAACCTCTATCCTCATGGAGCTTAAATTATAGTTGGGGAGACAGAAAATAAGCAGTAAAATAATAGATCATAATGTTGGGCAGTGATAAATTCTATAAAGCATAAAGCCTGATGAGAGAATGGGGAGTGATGAGGGCTTATCTGAGATAGAATAGTTAGGAAAGTCCTCTTTGAGGAGATGGCGTATGAACAAAGATCTGAATGAAACACACTTAGCACAGTTCAGGCACAGAATGCTTTATAAACAGGACCACTAATATTACTTTCCAGGTTCTCAAATTCAAAATGGTCACAAACTATGTACCTGAAAATGTGGTAGGTGGCTTATTTTATTTTATATCTAAACAACATTTTAAAAACATCATTTCATTACCAACACACATACTCTTATTTTAATTATTGTATCTCATTAATACAATTCTTAATCTCCAGGCCCTGGTCACCTTACTACTTAGTGCCAGAGCAAGGTCCAGAACTGGGAATTTTGATCTCTGGTCCATTTTTGCCATGAAAGGCTGTCAGTGAGAGGGGTGGCAGTACACCTTCCAGAGCAGAGCCACTGTTTGTTTGCTTTTGTGAAATCTGGACTATGTGTAGATGGTGAAGGAAGTAATGGGGGAGGGAGCGAGACATGGTTATTAGACAACACTGTATTTCACTCAGAGCATAATTCTCTTAGATGGGGGCTGGCCAGCATGGATGGTATCACTGCAGAATTATCTCAAAACTGTGTAGGAATGCTTGAAATCTACTATTGTTGTAAGGCCAATTTTTCCAAAGTGTGTTCCTCAAAATATTTGTTTTATGGGGTTCCATGTTCAAAATCTTGGGGAACCATTGCAGACTAAATTTTTCTCCTGTAGATTCACAAGGCATATTAACAGATTAGATAAGGACTTAAATTCTGCAGTAAAGAAATCTGATTAATCTTAATTGTTCCAAACTTCTTTGACTATAGAACCCTTTTCTCTTTTGACACTTATTAATTTGAACTTTTTGAAACGCTACTGTAAAGACACTAAATTTTAATTCAACTCAGCACATCTTAGAATCCCAGAATATTAGAAATGACACAAAATTATGCAATCAGTAAATACGAGGTACATGACTGAATGAAGCGCCCATCAGATACAAATTCAGCTTAGACGCAAACTTGTATATACAAAGGAGTGCTCTTGCTTCAGGTATTACAGGGGCACCGACATGACATAAACGCTTCAAAAATTTTTTAGGGAATCATTTTGAGAATCTAAAACTTGGGAGGCAGGAAGTAATCTTAAAGAGCTTTTTTAACCACTGCTTCTGAATCATGTTGTCAAGACATACCCATTATGAGATTCGTTAAAAATAATTTTTAAAAACACATTAAAGTGCGATAGATTATGAATGATGTTTTAAAAAACAAATAAGTAGAATCAAGGTTATACCTACGATATTATCCTGATTTTACCACTTTGCACCCCGGTCTCCTTTCTTGCATGGGAAAGACGGGTGGGGTTGCAGCCAGCCTGCTGGGAATTGCACGTAACCTGCAACCTTCCTTAGGGTGCTGGGGGCACACCCTTGGGAGTGTGTCGTGCACGTAAATCTCATCTGTTGTGTCTGTTATCTGATGGAAGAAAGTTAAGAAACGCCGAGCCAGCACAAACCCCTCATTTCACAGGTAAGAACATGGAGGTCTAGGGAGCAAAATAACATGCCTGGTCATTTGGCCAGGAGAAAACTCAACAGAACTCATATCCGAGTGTTCTGTCTCCTGGCTCCAAATAACCTTGTCTCTTCTGAAGCAGAACCTGAGATGGCAATTCTATTTTAAGCGATTCATTAGAGGAGTGTTCTAGACCCCAATCAATCTAGGAGGATTCTGTGTCACCTCATAAAAGGATCTGTATTCCAGCATGGAATATGCTACCTCCCAAAGACACCTGTCAAGCGTTGTGCTTCTTTCTTAGTTATATAAGGTACAAAGTCATATAAGGTACAAATAAAAGCTTTTTATTAGTAGACACGATAACCCAGCATGCCGCAAATCACTGGAACCCTAAAACTTCACTAGTGTGGCAAGCCCCTAAATCTTTGTAGAGTTTATCCCTACAAATGCTATCCCTTGAAGCATATGTATCTTACCAAGGCATCCAGAGAATTTGCCACTTCTCATCTGTTTTAATTAACATGATGTCATCAATGAGGTGGACCAATGTAACATGCTGCTTAATCATCAGATGGTTTAGGTTTCTTTGAACTATATTGTGACAGAGAAGGGGGAAAACAAACATAGCCTTGAGGCAAAACTGTGAATGTATAATATATTGCTGTTCATGGCATATGCATGTCAACTGCTTCTGATCCCTTTTTCTGATGGGCACTTAAAATATTTGGCAGATGTTAGCTAAATACCATATACATAAGAATGTGTTTATCTGCTCTAGTGAAAAACAGCTACATTTGGGGGAATTACTTGGTTAAATTTGTAGCAGTACATTGTCTTCCTGTATAATCCAGTTTTTTAGGGGCCAGACTGATAAATTAAATGAAGATATTATGGGAACCACCAGCCCCACCTATATACATGTCTTCAAGGGTGGCACCAATCTGCCATTTCTCTAGGATTCCAAGCAATTTCGTATACTATCTCGACCAAAGGGTGCAGGTTTGGGGATTTCCACATGGCCTTTCCTACAATTGTTTTTCCTCTGTAGGTCAAAGAACCAATGCAAGTGTTCTGTCAACTGTTAAGAATGTCCATTCCATTTATATTTAGGGGAGCTGGGGAGATGACCACTGGGTGGATCCATGGCTTCAGTTGACCAACTGTGAGACAGACCTGGGTGAGGACTTCATTTGTTACTTGGTTTGCATAAGCCCCTACTCTAAAAGGGGTCATGAGGACATGTCGGGTCCTCATGTGTCAGGATTATCTCTGACCTTGTATCCAATAGCACCTGAAAGAACTGTATATTTCCCTTCCCCAGTGTATAGTTACCTATGTGAATAGCCACAGGTCTCTTTGGGACATACTGGGTGAATCACTACAGTATATACTTGTTAAGATGCTTCAGTGCCTTCTCACATGGGGACCCAACCCCTTTTGCAGTCAATGGGTTGTGGATCTGAACATTGATCCCAGTCTAGAAACTGAGCAAGAGATCTTATTTTCTGTTGGGATGGCTGGCCTCGGCCTTCTGTTCATCTATTCTGTTCTTCAATTTTTTTCCTCTCTCTCTCTCTCTTTTTAAATAATAGAGTGAATATAACTGAGTATGTTCATCTATTCTTGATCTCATTTGACCTTACATGCTAAGCAAATATTATTGGCTACAATCTATCTTGCCTCTATGAACAACAGGAACTATTAATCACTTTCATAGATACTTGTGGGTCAGGGCTCCTTGGGTACCATTTCAATGTTACAGTAACTGTGTTCATCTTGCTTCTGAAAGTTGAGTTACCACCTGGCCTCTG